GTGACATTTGCCCGCCAAGGGGCACCTCGCCCCCATCCTCGCCCTGATTGTCGCGCTGCCTCATCCTTTGGTTTCGAGGGCTCGCGCGAGGAAGGGCATGCCAGTTTCGGGGGGGACTTCGGGCCCCCCCCCCAAGAATGGCATGCCAGCTTCGGGAAAAAGATTTCTGGGGGTTCCCGAAAATCCAAGGTCGAACCCGACTTTGGCCAAGCGCTTGTCGTACGAGTCATGATCGAAACACGCCCCCTTTCCGCCACATTTCTCTCTCTCTCTCTCTCTCCCTTTTTGTAATGATTCTCTTTACCAGCGCCTCCATTGTCGTCCTCCCCGCTGTCCTCGACCCCAACGTGTCCCTCCCCTCCTCGCCCGACATTCCCGAGCCTCCGACGCCGCGTTCCTCTCCATGTGCGGCCTGTCGCCTCCTTCCCCGGGGCCGGCATTTTGTCCTGAGTCGCCTTCAGGCGGCCCTGGGCCCGAGAGTTGCCCCCAGAGGCCGCACTGTAAGAAGACGCTGGCATCGGACAAATCACGGAGCGGGAAGCGCGGGCCCACTCTGCTTCCTCGGAGTGGACGACTCGGGGGGGGAGGCGGGGGCTGCAGCGGGGGCGTCACGAAAGCTGCTGCGTGCGCTTGGTTTCGGTTCCGCCGCCGCGCAAGAAAGGAAGGGGCGGCGGCGGCCGCGCACGGGCAGCGGAAAGGGCTCTTCGGGGCCGGCCAGCGGGCGCCGGGGCGGGGCTCGCTTGCCCAGATTCAATAGGCTTACGCCACATCCGCCGACCCTTCTATAAACTACTGCGCGTCCAGGACTGCGTTCCAGGAGGCTTGTCCGAATCCTGACACGGCGCTCGGTATCGTTCCTGTTGCCTCGTTGCTGGTATCGTATTTCGTGTTTGCTGCTTGGCCGTTGCGCGTCGCTTTGTTGCCTGACAGGGCAGAGGGGAAGAGGGTGGAGGGAGGATTCTTCGGGCCGGCCGGCGGGCGCCGGGGCGGGGCGCGGTGGCCCAGATTCGACGTTCTTCAGGGCGGCGTGCGCGCGTTAACCCAACGCGTCTTTGCCCCAGTCAGTTTCGACCGACAGCACGCAGCCTGCGTCGGCCCTCGTTGCAGCGCCTGCGTCTCATCGAGGAGACACGCTCACGCTTGCGCGAACGCGCGTTCTGGGGATCGTCGACAAACCCGCAGTCATCCCCCGCCGGGGTGCGAAGGAACATTCTTTTGATGGGGACGGCCCCGGTCTTTTCTTCCCTGTTTGTGCAGGAGGGCCCGATCGGGGCGCTTCACTTACAAAGGCAAGAGGCGAGGGGAAGAGAAAACAGAGGTGCAGGAATCCCGCCTGGCGTTTGTTGTTACGTTGTCGTTTCAATCCCAGCGCGCTGCTCCCCCAAATTCATGATGTGTCACTTTGTGGCTGTTTCAAACCTCGCGCGTTTCTCCCCACATTCCGCCTCTGCCGGCCTTTTGTTCGGTCCAGAGGGCCACCGCAGAATGATGCGGGATGAACAGGCAGGCCTGGATAAGTGGTCGCGAATTCTAGCGCCCATGGGGGGGGCAAGATAAACAAAACATCGGAGGCATGGGCAAAACAAGTTGGGGACATGCTTGTTGCTTCATGGGGTGCCTTCGCGGGCGCGGTTCGGCGCGGCTCGTGAAGCTGGCCTTGGCTGCGCGAGCAGGGTGCCGTGACCAAAAAGGGCTGTCGCCCTTTTGCCACCTTCTCGTTGTTGTTCCTCCTTTTTTTCGTCCCCATGTTGCAGAACGGGTCGCGGGCGACGTCTCGCGTGCCAGTCGATGCCGCCGTCAGGGATATACGCCTCAGGGCGCGCGGAGGGCAGGGCCAGCCGCTTCGATTTTGGCGACGCCCCCCGCTGTCCAAGTCGGGCATCCGACGCTGCCATGTTCAGTCCGCGCCCGCTTCAGGGCAGAGGCCCAGGGCGGCGCGCGGCAAGGCCGGGGACACTTTCGAAAAAACCGAAAGAGGAGGACGGCGGAGACTTAGGAGGGAGCGGGGGGAAGGCGACAATCAGCCGCGTGCCTTCTCCTCCCCTTCCTTTTCCGCCATTCCCCCCCTTCTCCCGCTTCCCCTAGGGGGAGGGGGGGAGGGGGGAGAAGGGAGAGGACAAGCTAGGTGCGCAAGCGTCTTTTCTGACGGCCGACCCCTCACTCCCATCCCTTACCACGGCGTAGATATCCTCTCTACTCGCGCATACTACAGTCTTCGCATGGCATAGCATTGCACGGCGTAACATGGCGTTTAAGTTCAACGCGTAGCATGGCATAGCATGACGGGGCACTGCGTAGCCAAGCGCAGCATGTCACAGCATTGCAGCGGAAGGCATGCCATCGCACAGCGGAGCGCACCATACCATTGCATTGTGTGCCATGGCATGGCGCTGGAAATGAGGCCAGCGCTGAAGCGGGAACGCGATTCGGAACGAGCAGAAGCGTGGAGACGAGGCCAGCGCTACAGCGGAAGCGCGCCCACAAACGGGCACATGTACAACCCAACAGACAGGGCAGCACGACCGACGCAAGGATCGACAAGTACTACGTCTACATCTTCCTATACTATAGATACGAGTACGCACCAGTGCCCAAGGCCAAGGGATGGGCACGCTCAAAGAGAAGAGACCACATTACAGCCGCGTACTTGTCAGACATCAGCCGATAATGCTTCATACTACTACAGCACGTTTGGCGCAACCCCGCGGAATGCGCGCCGAGCGCCGAGGCGTTCCCTGGCGGGCCGCGCCGAAGGTGCCGCGTGGAGTCGGCCAGGAAGGGGTGGCGGCGGCCGCGCGCGGGCGGCCGACAGGGCTCTTCGGGCCGGTCGGCGGGCGCCAGGGCTGGTGGGGCGCGGTGGCCCAGATCCGACGTTCCTCGGAGAGTTTTCCCTGCCTCAGCTCTCGCCGATAACACGCGGCTTGCGCGGGCCCTGACTGCGCAGCCCACGTCGAAGTGAGGGGCTTCGGTGGACGAACGCACGCTGGCGCTATCACGCGTTTTGTGGATCGTCCACAGGCTTCCAGTCATCCTCCACCAGGATGCAAAGAAGCTCCTTGGATGGATTATTACGGCCCAGGTATTTTCGTCTTTCTCGTGTATGTTGAAAGTCCTTATCCGACCGCCTTCGTCAGGCAGGCACGGGGCGAGCGGAAGAGAAGACGGAGGGGGGGGAATGCGACTAGGTGGCTATTACAATCCCGGTTCGTTATTCCCCCAGTTCACGTTGAGGGAGGAATCCAACGTTGTGGTTGTTTCAATATCGGCGCGTCTCACAACAATTGTGCTTGTTGCGGTCCCAGGGGCCACCGCAGAAAGATGCGGGATGAACAGGCAGGCCTGGGTAAGTGGTCGCGAATTCTAGCGCCCACGGGGAGGGTAAGATTAACAAAGCATCGGAGGCATGGGCAAAACAAGTTGGGGACATGCTTGCTGCTTCATGGGGTGCCTTCGCGGGCGCGGTTCGGCGCGGCTCGTGAAGCTGGCCTGGGCTGCGCGAGCAGGGTGCCGTGACCAAAAAAGGCTGTCGCCCGCTTGCCATCCTCACGTTTTGCACCTCCTTTTCGCCCCCATATTGCAGAACGGGGCGCAGGCGATGTCTCGCGTGCCAGTCGATGCCGCCTTCAGGGATATACGCCTCAGGGCGCGCGGAGGGCAGGGCCAGCCGCTTCGATTTTGGCGACGCCCCCCGCTGTCCAAGTCGGGCATCCGACGCTGCCATGTTCAGTCCGCGCTGCAGATCGTCATTGCGCACGCTGCGGATGCTGCCGCCGTCCGTGGGACGCGCCGCAGTCTCGCGCCCCGCCCGCTTCAGGGCGCCCAGGGCGGCGCGCGGCAAGGCCGGGGACACTTTCGAAAAAAACGAAAGAGGAGGACGGCGGAGACCTAGGAGGGAGCGGGGGGAAGGCGACAATCAGCCGCGTGCCTTCTCCTCCTCCTCCCCGTCCTCGTCTTCCTCCTCCTCCTCCTCCTCCTCCTCCTCCTCCTCCTCCTCCTCCTCCTCCTCCTCTTCCCCGTCCCCCCCAGGGGAGGGGGGGTGGGGGAATTGCTGCTGATCTTCGCCCCTGCCCTGGGCCGGGGGAAGGGCGACGGTCAGCGACAATTTTCCTGACATAAATTTTCGGCGCTCCGCGCAGACGTCTTGGATCTGCGCTGGGCCCCCCTGGCGGCGCCTCCGGCGCCGCCCCTGGTGCGCTCCGCGCGCCAGGGAGAGGGGTCCAGCGCAGATCCAAGAAATCTGCACGGAGCGCCGAAAGTGTATGTTTGTGCCGTTAATTATTTTTCTGGCATCCCCCTGCCCAGTTGGCCGGGGCGGCGTTGACGTTCAGGGATGGGGGAAGGCGCAGCGTCCTCGCGCGTTTCGTCTGCTTCCTCCTCTACCTCCTCCTCCAGAGTCCGGATTGACGGCTTCGGTACCACGATCACGGGCGCAGCCGACACCTTCCTTGGCGGCGTTGTGCCACCAGGGAGGGCGCAAAATTTGAACAGTGGGTCGAGGGCTGGCGCGCTCTGCTTACCGGGGCTAGCTTCTAATTTCCGCACTTGCCTTCCGGGAGGCACTCCTTGGTCCTTCCCCCTCCTCTTTTCCCCCCATTGGGCGGGTCGAGGGACCAGGATCGATCCTATCCTCGATTCTCGAGCGCTTCCTGGGCCGTCCTGAAACCGTCTCAGGCAGCCTTGGATCTCTCCGCAGCAGGCCGTCTGGGGGCCCTCGTGGGGCTCTCAGTGGGCCCCCGTGGGCCGTCGAAGACCGCGAGTCGCCCGGCCAGGCCGCACGTTGCCTCCCTCCTATTTGTCCGGCCTGCCGCGCTCGAGGACTGTACAGAGGCCGAATCAACGGGGAGTTCGACAAAGCAGGACTTTGGCGCGCCAGAGAAAAATTGCAGCCGTGGGTCGAAGCACCCTCCATCCACGAATGGCTTTCTCCGGGTGGAACTTTCAGAGTCCTGGCCAGCAATGTCGTAGTTCAGAGGGCCCCGAGTTGCGCGGGGGCGCGGCAGGAGATGTCGGAGCACTCGGAGCGTGTGCAGCAGGCCGTCCCTCTTTGGCCGCCTTGACCCTCCACCCAAGACGACGATTATGATGATGACGCCGATGTTATTGTATGACGATGCTGATGACAATGATGATGCTGATGATGATGATGCTAATGATGATGATAACGATGACGATGCTGATGCTGATACTGATGCTGCTGTTGATGGTGATGATGATGATGCTGATGATGGTCATGCTGCTGATGGTGATTATGAGGATGGTGATGGTGATGATCTTGTTGTTGATTCTGGTAATGATGACGATAACGATGATGACGATGGTGATGGTGATGGTGATGACGATGAAGGTAATGCTGGCGGTGATGATGATGATGATGATGGTGATGATGATGGTGATGCTGATGATGGTGGTGATGATGATGGTGATGATAAATGGTGGTGGTGGTAGAGGTGATGATGCCGATGGCGATGCTAAAGATGCTGATGCGGATGCTGCTGATCATGATGATGATGATGATGATACTGATGCTGATGCTGATGCTGATGATGATGATGATGCTGATGATGATGATGATGATGATGGTGACCATGCCGATTGTGATGATTACGACGATGACGATGGAGATGATGACTGTATTGGTGATGATGATGACGTTATTGATGATGATGATGAGGATGAGGATGAGGATGAGGATGATGATGATGATGATGATGATGATGATGATGATGATGACGGTGATGATGATGATGAAGAAGAACAAGCAGAAGCAGAAGTCTTCTCGCCATGAAGGAGACGAGCCCCGAGAGAGACGGGCCTTCACTCGTCGTTGGCCTCCAGTGACCCTCCACGAGCCCCAGGGCCAGCAGAGAACAACCCTTCAGGCTGAAGAACTGGTCCCGGGGGGGAGGCCCCGCGGTCTAGGACCCGTTTCCCTCATGACCCGCTTCTTTCAAGCCGTGTTCAACGGTTTCTCTTGTTCTTCTCTTGCGTCGAATATTCCACGATGCATCCAGATCAGTGTGGACATCTTTCTGGGTTGACCTGGTCCTTTTTGGTTCTACGACGTCGGTTCGCGAAATGTACCCCGATGTGTATGGTTTGATCCCCGCAAGTCGATCGGAGAAGAGTCGTCAAGCCCGTAGTGACCTCTCCACTCTCTCATCTCTACACTAATTATTCCTCCTCTACCCCTCCTCCTACCACACCTACCCCTTTCTCCTCTCTCCTTTCTCTTTGCTGGAAAACACAGACATGGCAAATAATCACTGAACCTCGGGCGGATGTCTTGGCTCGGCAACGTGCCCCCCTCCCCGCCACCCTTGGGCGGCTTCTCTGGCGCGCCCCAGGCGCGCTCCGCGCGCTGGGGAACCCAAGAAATCCGCGCAGACCTCCGAACATATTATGTTACACCGGAGGAAAGCCCCAATCAGTGTATGGCCCGAAAGGTTTGCAAGCGCCATGCCCGGCCGCAGTTTCGCAAGAGGGCCCTAAGAGGCTAACTCATTGATTGCCCTTGCGTGTTGGAAGGGTTGTAGCATCCTCGCTATTTCGGGCATCCGTCTGCTCAAGACGGCCTAGGAGGTCTCTAATATTGCCCCAGGACGGCGCACGAGGGGCCCAAGAGGACCCAGGCGGGCCTCCAGAGGTACCCTCGACGGCCTGAGAGGGCCCCTCGACGACTCGAGAGGGTTACAACACGTCACCACAACGGCCAGGAAAACACATCAGCAAGAGCCGCCCATCGAAATCGGCCGGCTACTTTCGCCAATCTTTTGAGGAGTGCCCACCGAAAGGCGCCCACCGAAGAAATCGGCCGGTTATGTTCGCCAATCTCTTCTATGTCCGGTAGGACCTTTTCAGTGTAAACGTTGATTGGGGAATGCATGGCGTTTTTTCGTCTTCTACTCCAGCCTGGACTCCCTCTACCCTGCTCGTCGCCAGACCACTGGAGACTCGAAAATCTGCGTCAGAGCTCGTTCAATTTTGTTCCCGTGGAGCATTCCCTGGCCCCAGCCAGAACGAACCCAAAAACCTGGGGCGAATAGCAGGCCCTGGGGAAGTGGTCACGAGGTTTGGAAGCCTACTTCGCGAAGGGATAGAGGCGTCCGAGACAAGGGTCCTCCTTCCTTCCCTCTCTCCCGATCCCTTCCCACATGCCCCTCCCATTCTCTCCATTCATCTCTCTCCTTCCTCTCCCTCTGCCTGACGCACATTCCCACCCTCTCTCCCTTCGTAGTTCCTTCCTGTCTCAGTCGTTGCCTTTGGCCTGGTCTCTCTCTACCTCCATCTTTCGCTCCACGGCCCCTTGCAGAGCGACGAGTGAGTGGCAGGAATTTGTTGGTGCAGGGGGAGTGGGTCAAGAAAGAGGAGGAGGAGGAGGAGGAGGAGGAAGAGGATGGGAAAATAAGGATAAAGGGGACGGAGCTGGGGACGGAGGGACGGAGGATGGAAGGTACGTCGGACAAGAAGACGACGACGAGTAAGATGACGAGGAGAAGGATTACAGTGAGAAGGAGGACGGTAGAGTTGGACCAGAAAGGCGCAGGACGTTGAATCGTCAATCGTCTTGTGTAGTATGTCTCGCATAGTGCGGGCCGTGCCCCACGTTTCGCGTGGCGACGGAAGAAAACCAGGTATATTGCGCTGACATTCGCGCGTCAGTTCGCCCGCGGAAGGTCGCGCGTGAGCGCCCTCCTCTCCACGCGGTGTGCCCCCTTGACGGCCCGCGTAAGCCGCGGCGTAAGGTCGGTGTGCCTTGTCGCGCAGTAGTGTTCGTCGCTCACATGTTTCTGCTTCTCCACCGTCGGTCGCCGTTCTCAGAGGTCTGCGGTCGCTAGCCAGTGCAGCCAGCGCGGGGCGGGCGCGGGGCCGCCAGAGGCGGGTCGCGCGCAAGACGTTGCCGCGACATCAGCCATTCGGGTCGCACCTCGGCGCTCGCACGGCGAGTGGGACCACGCTGGCATGCAGCGGGGAGCAACGAGACAGCATAAGTTGGCGTCGGTAGCCGTTCTGGCTCAAGTTTTCCGATCGATCGAGCTGTGTCCTGGTCTGTCGCGCGCAGCACAGTGGGGGCGCGCATCAAGACACCATCGACTCTTCGTCATGGTACCCTGGGCGTCTTCGATCCGCGCGCTGCGCTGTGACTCCCCGCGGCCGTCCGAAGAGTTGCTGCGCTCGGGGTGCTCCGCGTTTCCTCTCAGGGTGCACCTCGCGCGCGAGTTTTCAGGGTTGGGCAATGTCAACTTAACGTTTCAAACTCTAACACATCACACACACACTCAAAGCAGTCAAAAGATCGATACCCAGCATAAGCAGCTGTACAAACCTCTCATCTTCATTTTTTGGAGTGTCCAGGCGCAGCGTAAGGCGGGCAAAATCGCGAAGGTTTCTTGCGACCGCGCCCGCACTGCATGGTGGCCCGGGCCGGGCCTCTCCGAGCCGTGCTGGTCCCCGCGCTGTGGGCGGCCGGCCCGGGCGCCCTCTTGGGCGCGGCGCCGCCGAGGCTGCAGGGGCACGCGGGTCGTGGTGCAGCGCGGCGCTTGCGACCCAGGCCTGTCCAGGCCCTAACACTTCGAAGAGGAGACGGCGCACGTCCGAGTCGTGCCCTGGGGTCTCGAGGAGCGGCGGGTGTGGATGCCTGCCCGCCCGCGTCGGCGGGCGGACATCCACATCCGCCGCTGCCCGAGTCCTCGGAGCACGACCCGCCAGCCGTGGATGTGGTCATGTTCCGGCGGCGCAGGGGCATGCGAGCCGCGGTGCAGCGCGACGCCTGCGACCCAGGCCTGGCCAGGCCCTAGAATTGAAGAGAGAACGACGTACGTCTAGGCCTCCTGGATGGAGTCGGAGTAGATGGGGTCGGAGGATCGCGCCGCATCGCCGATGCATCGGCGATGTGGCTCGATGTGGAGCCCGATGTTCTCCACGCCGGCGTCGCCGACGCATCGCCAGCGTCGCTGGTGCATCGCCACTGCATCGCCGATGCATCGGCGATGTATTGGCGATGTGGCGCGATCCTCCGACCCCATATATTGGGACCCTGTCCAGGAGGCCTCTGATACGGTGGGGGCGTTCCTTAAGGAATGTGCCCAGGAGGCTTCAAACCATGAATGAATATTTGATTGTCTGAAGATCGTGGTGGTGAATCCCATGGCCAGTCCACGATTGGAGTCCACTGGCAGACACCTGATTCCTCATTCAAGGGTTCCCTGTTCAATGCCCTCGCCGTCAGCGAAAATTGCATAAAAACAATGTTTCGGAACTTCGCGCGGATTTCTTGCCATGAGGGGTCAGCGCCGATCAAAGACATCCGTGCGAGCTACGAAAGTTGATGTTTATGCAGGTGTTTCTAACTAAGCTAGCGCCACTGGGGTGCGCAGGTTTCCAGAAGAGGACTCGAGACGCTCCTGATTCGGGTGTCCTGTCCACCACACCGTGGGGTTTGTTGTTACGGCTTGCCTGGCAGGTATGCAGGCAGCGTCGCACGCCCTGCATCAAGCCAGGGTGTCCTGGCTTCCGTCGACACCATCGCCCGCGCGAAGGAGTGGGTGGCAGCGGACGGTTTCTACCACCCTGTACGTCCCGAGCTAATGTCGGAGGATTTTGTCTGGGAGGGCCCAGTGGTCGGCCCTCTGAACAAGGTCGATCTCATCGGCACCGTCGGCACGTTCAAGGTGTACGAGGCTTTTCCAGATCTGAAACAAGAGTGCTTTGGTTGGGGAGTAGACCCACGGAACGAGCTGAAGGCATGGTGTTTTATGCGGGTGCAGGGGACCCACACTGCAGACCTGAACGCAGGCGCGAAGATCCCTGCCACTAGCAAGGAACTCCGGCAGAATGTGCAAGCGATATCTGTCACCTTGAATTCTGAAGGCCAGGTGGAGCGCTACACGGGGGGCTACGTGGTGGACAACCGACCCGAGGAGGGAAACACTGGAGGGCTCGGCGGTTTTTTCGGCGTGCTTGAGGCAATAGGAGCAGAGAGGGGACACAAGACACAATGTACACAAACACGTGTGTGCACATATGTTTGCGTGCATGCGTATCGGAGGTTGGGGGGTGTGAGCGGAAGTGACCCCAACTGGGAAGTCGGTTTCGGTTTCGGTTCGTGTCATGCGTACGGGCGAGGCGAGGCAATGCGAGTTCTTGCATTGGCAGGGGCCATAGATTGCCAAAAGGGCCACCCTCACCCCCGTCGGCCGGCTGTGGCTCCAGGGTTGTCCCGGCGATTGTCCTGGCGGTTGTCCCGATGGTTGTCCCGATGGTTCTCCCGATGGTTGTCCTGATGGTTGTCCCGGCGGTTGTCCCGGCGGTTGTCCCGATGGTTGTCCCAATGGTTGTCCGGATGGTTTTCCCGATGGTTTTCCCGATGGTTGTCCCGATGGTTGTCCCGTTAGAGGGACAGTTGAAGGAGCCAACCCAGAGCCATCCCAGATCGACCGCCTCCCTTTCCCTCTCCCAACCTCCTTATCACCCGCAGGGTGGTCTTATCGGTGCGTATAGATAATTTCGTGTGTGTGTGTGTTGATGTAGTTGAGCGGGTGCGTGAGTATGTGTATGCGTGTTCGTGTAAGTGCGCGCATGTGCTCTTGCGTGTGTGTTCGAGCGGAAAGGTTGGGTATGCACATTCACGAATTCGGCGTGCTCGATGCGTTCCCTTCCAGGAGTGCCGACTCCAACGCCAGGTGGAAAGATCGCTCGTTTCTTGAATTTCATTGGCGCGTTCAAGAAGAACTATCCCAAGGCCCAGTCCCGCAAGGAGGACCTTCCCCCGAAGTACACCCGCCGCAAGGAAGCGGCCTACGCAGGACGCAGGGTCGGCCTGCGGACTGCCGACTCGTGGAATTGACGATCACACTGGTGCCCATTCATTTTTCGAGCTGGCCATAGGCGTGGCCTTGGAGCAGTTCTCAGCGCCACAATTGCCGGGATCCCGCAAGGGGGGGGGGGCCCGGGAGGGGTGTGAGTTCAATCGTTCTGTGCACCGAAACGCCCAAAACAGATGCCCCCCAGCCGAAGGCAGCTCCCGATAGTTGCGGACAGGTGGGGCATGCGGGGGGGCACCTGTTTGCGGCAGTTCGGTGCACAAGCGGATCGAACTCATGCCTCCCCTTCAGGGTCTTACCCCCTTTGGTGGATCCCGAAATTGCCAGCCTGCAGCATCCGACGGGCAGAAACACAGCTCGGCGTGAGGCCTCTCCCGCCGATCGGGATCGGGAAACATCCATACGCGTTCCGTCGACCCTCCCGCCGCTGCCGGTCCTCGTCCCCAGTTTTCCTCGCATCCCTCCACTCCCGTTAACCCCTACTCGTTCTCCTCCTCCTCCTCCTCCTCCTCCTCCTCCGCCTCCTCGTCCTCCTCCTCCCATTCCTCCGCCTTCTCCTCAGGCCTCCTGCCTCCTCCCCCTCCTCCTGCTCCTCCTGCTCCTCCTCCTCCTCCTCCTCCTCCTCCTCCTCCTCCTCCTTGTCCTCCTCCTCCTCCTCCTGCCCCTCCTCCTGCCTCCTCCTCCTCCCCTCCTCCTCCTCCTCCTCCTCCTACTCCTCTGCCTTCTCCTCCTGCCTCCTGCCTCCCCCCCCTCCCTGCTGCTCCTCCTCCTCCTCCTCCTCCTCCTCCTCCTCCTCCTCCTCCTCCTCCCTCCTCCTCCTCCTCCTCCTCCTCGTCTTCGCCTCCGGCCTCCTGCCTCCTCCCCTTCCTCTGCCTCCTCCCCCCCTCCTCCTCCTCCTCCTCTTCCTCCTCTTCCTCCTCCTCCTCCTCCTCCTCCTCCTCCTCCTCCTCCTCCTCCTCCTCCTCCTCTGTCGTTATTTCACATTGGCCCCATCTCCTCTCCCCCTCTTCATCTTCCCCTCCCCCTCCCCCTCCTCGCCCTCCCTCCTTCCCTCGCGGAAACAGAGGAGGGTGGAGGGGGAATGCGCCAGCGGCTCGCATGGCAGCGCCACGGCCAGAGTCAACGCCCGCGTGGTCAGACGTGAGGCCAGATCAGTCCCGATCCCCGGACGTGCCTCGGGACCCTCCGCACCGGGCCATCCTCCAGGCCGGAGCAGGGGCAGGGGAGACGGCAAGGGCTCCTGTCCGTTACAGCCTCTTCGAGTTCTGGCGGCTGGACCTCGCGCTCCGCGAGAAGCGGTGGCGCCCGTGCACGGGCAGGCTGCCGGCACACCGGAAGGCTCCCATCTGACGCCTCCCCTGGCTCCCCCGAGAGCTTACCAGGTCGGACCGCTGGGCCCACACGGGGGTGGGCGGCGGGCCTGGCCCGGCGCGCCAGTGGGGGAGGCCCCAGTCGAGCAGGGGAGGGCCTCGGCTGGTGTTCGAGGCCTCCCAGATGGGGTCCGAGCGGATGGGGTCGGAGGATCGCGCCGCATCGCCGACGCGTCGTCGATGCGGCTCGATGCGGAGCCCGATTTTCCCAACGCCGGCGTCGCCGAATGCATCGGCGATGTATCGGCGATGCGGCGCGATCCCCGACCCCATCTGCTCGGAGAAGATTTGGGAGGCCTCCAGGTGTGCAGCCCGGGCGGATATTGCTTTGGCCTTCTTGGGCGGCACCCTCCCTTCAGGCATAGAGGCATGGAGACTCGTGTTCGTTTCCATTCTGTCGCACCGTGTTCCCGAGCCCGAGCGTAGCCCGCAGAGGGCCGATCGAGGCATCAGCGCTGCCGTCCTTGCGTCGAGCTCTGGCTGCTGCTGGAGCGGGCCTCGATCATCCGGGGAACGAAGGGAGCAACACCATAGTACGCGAAGTGCCGGCTAGCGGAGGGAGGAGGTCCTTCTCTCCACCCCCCACCTCTCCTCTTCCCCCCCTTGGGTCTCCCTCTCCCTCCCTTGTTAGCTTTCCAACAAGGTGACCTTCTGCCACCCAGGAGATCTTGGCAGGCTTCTGAGCGTCGTGGGTTCCACGCAAGCCTAGCAGCGATAGAGGAGATGCACCCGTTCATGTCGGGGCTCAAGCTTGAAATGTCGAATTTGTTAGCGGAGCCTGGTAGATCGCTACCAGGCTCGGTCGCTATCCGCGGCGCCTCCAGCGAGACGCCGCGCGCGCGGCCAAAGCTATTGCGTTCGCCGCAGGCTTTTTTGGTCACTAGCGACAGCAACTGAAAGGTAAGGTTCACAGGCACCGATGACAGCGACAAGAAACTACACAACATGGTGAAGACGTCCACCGACGAAAAAAACACCTAGGAACAGATCGACCTGAAGGCATCATGTCCGAGCACACTGGTCCCCCGCTCGACGCGTACACGGAAGGAACACCTTGAGGATTGAGACCAGCATTGCTGCACTACCCGTTCAGAGGGTTCTTGGAGAGGCTTCGTCTTCGGTATCGTGTCTGACTTGGCCGCCGAACAGATTGGTCCCGCAGTCGCGGGCAGACTACAGGAAGACCTTGCAACATGGCCTTGCCACCGACGTTGCGAACCCAACAGGGAGCGGAGTTGCAAGGGGACGCCGCCTTCGCATACCCTGGCGAAGCAGTGCTGATGGATGGTCGAGGCAGCGTTTGATTGCCTGCCACCGAGAGCGGAGCTCAGCGCCTCATCCGCATTTGTCTCGCAGATACGGCGCGGACAACCAACTGACGGCCACGGGCAACATCGACATGTCCTATGATATCCGACGAGGTCGTTTCTCTCTCTCTCTCTCTCTCTCTCTCTCTTTCATTCTCTTGGATTATAGGTGTCTGAGTTCGAGCACGTGCATGAAGAGACAAGGAGGCCCAGAGGTTTTAATTTGATTGTCGCAGCCCTCATTCATCAGCTACTGATGTACTCTAAGATGTATGATGTGTTGCTGTTGGTCAACAGCGGTCTTTCGCGCCACAAGGACATCAATATCCGCTTGCTGCGATTCGCGAAGAGCCAGGCCCCTGCACAGCTATCTGGTGTTGGGTGGGTATCACGCCGATGGCACCGAAGACGGGGAAGGTGACGACGACTGGTATGACGACAGCTATTCGTCTGACAACTCGTGGTTTAACGACAGCTGGGCCGATGACATCTTGTACAGAGATCCCACATGGTATGACGGCAGTTTTTGGTATGACGATGCCTGGTCCCGCCTCGAGTGTAACGGAGACGAAAACGAGCCCAGCCAAACAGCTTCGGAGCCATCGCCAACAACAGCAGCGCCACCAGATACCGGAGCGACCGACCTGGAGACCTTGCCAGAGGACACCTACTTCGGCAGGAAGGGCAAGGGCAAGGGCAAGAGCTACAGCAAGAACCGCAAGCGCAAGGGCAATAACCCCGGGCGTCCAAGAGACAAAGGCAAGAGCATTGGCGGAAGGTCTAGCGAACACGGATGCGGAAGATGCGGAGGCCCGGGCCACAACACGGACGATTGCCCATGCAACCAAGGGGAATCGAAAAACAAGAAAAGCAAGGGCCGCTCCAAAGACGAGAGCTACAGCAAGAGCCGAGGCAAGGCCAAAGGCAACTACGCGGACCACGAGGACCCTTGGCACTCGAATGCCAACACGTGGAAGCATGGTCGATCTGCTGGCACTACCTCACCTCCTGGTAGCAGTGGCACGCTAAGTCTTTGGAGCCAGTTCATGCAGCTCCTGATCAGTTGCCGACCTCATCCTGGAAGCCACAGCTGTCAACACCCCTGGCACCAACATCACGACCATAGACGCCATGTGCTTCCTGTGAGATAGCTGCCAGGGGCCCGTCGCTGGAACTGCCCAACCAGCAGCTGAGCGCCGATCACGTCTTCGAGGCCGAGGTCGACGACCTACTTCGAGGTTATGCCCGAACCTCCAGCGGTCGCGCCAGTGATCGACGTCGACGATGAAAATGACCACGACGAGACCGTCATTACTGACTGCATTACCATGGGATCCTCGTCGGCACATACAGCTATGTCACTGGCCCGGTTGGACCTCGACTCAGTGGTTCGCGACGTGGTTGCCGCACCACCTTCGGCGGCGCCGCCATCGTTGCGCTTGAGCGCACTCGCGCCAGCAAGTATCATGAGCGTGGACCTTCGCCGCGCCTCGGGCGTCTTATCAGCGCCGCCAAGAATGCCGATCACCCCGCCATCGACCACTGCGCCAGTAGCGCGAGCACCGGCGGCCCAGATCAACCACCGCGAGTAAGTCAGAAGGCGCCTCCCCGACACCGGCGCCCTCGAGAAGCTGATATTCAGCGCTCGCGCGGGGCCAGCCGCCTCCGGGGAGCCAGGCGGCCCACGCCTGCGCCGAGTGCGCCGCGAGCCCTCTTCCAGGGACACCTCCACCAGATGAGCGCGGCGAAGGGCCGCGCCGATGAAGAGCCGGCCTCTGAGGCGCAGCAGCGCGCCCATCCGCGCGCTCTGGGCCCCTTCAAAAATTCCAACGGCCTCGACTACGACGCGGCGAAGGGCGCCGAAATCTGGGGCGCGATCTTCGACCCCGGCGCCGCCGACGAGCTGGTCGGCACCCTTGCGCGCGCGCGCGATGTGGCCGGGCCGCGGGGGCGCGACTTCACTTCGGCGCTCCCGAGGGGGCACTTGGCATTGCTGGGGTCGACGGCGCCCCGGCGGAGAGTCAGATAGCAGCGCGAGCGCCGATCGATCCAGGCCCAGCCAGCACGAACCTCGAGACAGCAATTGCAGGAAGAATTGGAGATCGGTGCACATTTTTACTTTCGAGCAAAACGTATATCGAGGTGGGAGGTGACAGCGATGTTCGGCTATTCTGATAGCAATGAAGGGTTGTTCGTTTCTTTAGAT